ATGATTAGCACATCCTCTGCTGATACAATTTTTTCTCTTCATCTTGGCCATCCGTGGAGGCTTTCATCAGGACATGCATTAGGTTTACTCTGCTCAGGCTGAATCAAACATTTCTGTAGAAGTGTGCACAGGTGTGCTCTATCAAAATATTCCAAGTGTACCCACCATGAAATGAAAACAAATTACGCATTTCTATGCAATTAATCCAACATATTTTTCTGGTCTGAGAATGTTCAACTATTTAAAGATTACATCTGAATTTTGCATTTAATAAACTAAACTAAAATAATTTTACTTGTGTGTTTAGTCTTTGTTCATAGTTATTTTTCTAGAGCTTTTTAAATAATCAGTCCTGAGTGATGTTACCGGTATATAGCTTCTGGAGACCACTTTTAGGCAGTCCCAAGACACAAAGTCTGTGTATAAAGATCACTTGTTTATGTAACTTCACATTCAGCAATATTTTTTTCACATTTTGATCAAGCTTTCGGCCAGCTACCTGTCAATTTTAAACGGGAACTCCACATTTTTCATTTCACAGGCATAATTTATACAGACCTGTTCAATTTTTAACGAAAATTGCCAGTAAATTACAAAATGAGCATAAATAATCGTGAAAAAAAATCACTTGCAAGTCTTTGGTTTGACTCAGAACTGCTAGTCTTTCATTTCGATAAAGTTTTAAAATTGGCTATAACCCTCCTTTGGATAAACTGTTATTATACTGTTTATAAACTACCGGTAATCTTACTTAATCGGCTTTATAAATGGGTTTTTGTTGCCGGGTACCACAAATAATCCAACCTATAAAGACCACCTGTCCATGAAGTCTGTTTCAATGAAAATGCTGTAGACATGGTTTAACTGCATAATTGAAGAAGCAGTTGCTGAAACTGTGTCGAAGGACTCCCAAGAAATGAATCAATGCTACAAAATTTCATTATCATCGCTGATATGCAAAATTGAAGCAGTTTACTGTTAGGCCAAAAAAAAAATTGTTTTGTTGCCCTCAGCGATCGATCAAAAAATATGAAATATCGGGTCGCGTTTTTCTTTTTTTCTTTAAATAGGCCCAAATATAAAAAACTGGCAATTTTAAGCAGTAAAAACGTGTTTCCTCTAAAATTTAACAATCCCGGACCGTTGTTTGATCCCCAGGGTCCCTGGGGGATAAGTGGCGACTTTGAACCTCTGGTTGATCTGTATTTAAATACAAAAGACTGAAAGAAACACTTTGATTTTTGTGTTTAATATCTAGCATGCGTTTGATTGATTCCCATATACCTCGGCTATTTTACGATACCCCTAGGTTTCACGAGTTCAAAAAAAAAATCCGACCGACCGATTCATTTTTTTTACCCCGACTTGAGGGCAACATAAGTTTGTTTTTTGGCCTAATTTGTGTCAAATTCAACAACAATGATTTTCTTGCTGTCTCATTTACCCAGAGTCCCTCCACTAAACTGCTATTTAAAATTTGCGATTTATTTATATATAACCATAGCTTACAAATAAAGTATAGGGTTAGCTATGATAACGTGTAGCGTACTTTGCCGTCGTTACCTTACATTAATTTACATGTTAATTCTATCATCTTGAATTTAATTAAACTCAATTAAAACGCAAACCTATTTC